ATAGGGAGTGTGTGATGATGATCATATCAATCTTGGAACTACTTCCAACACTCATCGTCACTTCCCCCTCAACTACTCTCTGTTTATTCTGTAACTCCTGTTTCGAGTTACTAATCTTAGCAACCGAACAAGTATCAAATACTCAGGGGCTACTATAAACACTAGTAAGGCACACATCAATAACCTATATATCAAATATACCCTTGTTCACTTTGCCATCCTTCTTATCCACCAAATATTCAGGGCATTTCCGCTTCCAGTGACCATTTCCTTTGCTGTGTAAGCACTCAGTTTCAGGCTTTGGTCCAGCTTTGGGCTTCTTCGCGGGAGTGACAACTTGCTTGTCATTCTACTTGAAGTTCCCTTTCTTTCCCTTTGCCCTTTTCTTGAAACTAGTGGTCTTGTCAATCATTAACACTTGATGCTCTTTTCTTGATTTCTACCTTCGTCGATTTCAACATCACGAAGAGCTCGGGAATTGTTTTGATCATCTCTTGCATACTATAGTTCATCACGAAGTTCTAGTAACTTGGTGATGGTGACTAGAGAACTCTGTCAATCACTATCTTATCTGGAAGATTAACTCCCACTTGATTCAAGTGATTGTAGTACCCAGACAAACTGAGCACATGCTCACTAGTTGAGCAATTCTCCTCCATCTTTTAGCTATAGAACTTGTTGGAGACTTCATATCTCTCAACTCGAGTATTTGCTTGTAATATTAACTTCAACTCCTGGAACATCTCATATGGTCCATGACGTTCAAAACGTCTTTGAAGTCCCGATTCTAAGCCGTTAAGCATGGTGCACTAAACTATCAAGTAGTCATCATATTGAGCTAGCCAAACATTCATAACATCTTCATCTGCTCCTACAATAGGTCTGTCACCTAGCGGTGCATCAATGACATAATTCTTCTGTGCAACAATGACGATAAACCTCAGATGACGGATATAATCCGCATCATTGCTACTAATATCTTTCAACATAGTTTTTCTCGAGGAACATATCAAAAATAAACATATGGTAGCAACAACGCGAGCTATTGATCTACAACATAATTTGCAAAATACTATCAGGACTAAGTTCATGATAAATTAAAGTTCAATTAATCATATTACTTAAGAACTCCCACTTAGATAGACATCCCTCTAATCATCTAAGTGATCACGTGATCCAAATCAACTAAACCATGTCCGATCATCACGTGAGATGGAGTAGTTTTCAATGGTGAACATAACTATGTTGATCATATCTACTATATGATTCACGCTCGACCTTTCGGTCTCAGTGTTCCGATGCCATATCTGTATATGCTAGGCTCGTCAAGTTTAACCTGAGTATTCCGCGTGTGCAACTGTTTTGCACCCGTTGTATTTGAACGTAGAGCCTATCACACCCGATCATCACGTGGTGTCTCAGCACGAAGAACTTTCGCAACGGTGCATACTCAGGGAGAACACTTATACCTTGAAATTTAGTGAGAGATCATCTTATAATGCTACCGTCAATCAAAGCAAAATAAGATGCATAAAGGATAAACATCACATGCAACCAATATAAGTGATATGATATGGCCATCATCATCTTGTGCTTGTGATCTCCATCTCCGAAGCACCGTCATGATCACCATCGTCATCGGCGCAACACCTTGATCTCCATTGTAGCATCGTTGTCGTCTCACCAACTATTGCTTCTATGACTATCGCTACCGTTTAGTGATAAAGTAAAGCAATTACAGGGCGATTGCATTGCATACAATAAAGCGACAACCATATGGCTCCTACCAGTTGCCGATAACACTATTACAAAACATGATCATCTCATACAATAAAATTTAGCATCATGTCTTGACCATATCACATCACAACATGCCTTGCAAAAATAAGTTAGACGTCCTCTACTTTGTTGTTGCAAGTTTTATGTGGCTGCTACAGGCTGAGCAAGAATCGTTCTTACCTACGCATCAAAACCACAATGATAGTTCGTCAAGTCAGTGCTGTTTTAACCTTCTCAAGGACCGGGCGTAGCCACACTCGGTTCAACTAAAGTTGGAGAAATTGACACCTGTCAGCCACCTATGTGCAAAGCACGTCGGTAGAACCAGTCTCGCGTAAGCGTACGCGTAATGTCAGTCCGGGCCGCTTCATCCAGCAATACCGCCAAACCAAAGTATGACATGCCGGTAAGCAGTATGACTTGTATCGCCCACAACTCACTTGTGTTCTACTCATGCATATAACATCTACGCACAAAACCAGGCTCGGATGCCACTGTTGGAGGACGTAGTAATTTCAAAAATTTCCTACGCACACGCAAGATCATGGTGATGCATAGCAACGAGAGGGGAGAGTGTTGTCCACGTATCATCATAGACCAAAAGCGGAAGCGTTAGCACAACGCGGTTGATGTAGTCGTACGTCTTCACGATCCGACCGATCCAAGTACCGAATGTACGACACCTCCGAGTTCAGCACACGTTCAGCTCGATGACGTTCCACGAACTCCGATCCAGCAGAGCTTTGTGGGAGAGTTCCGTCAGCACGACGACGTGATGATGGTGTCGATGATGCTACCGACGCAGGGCTTCGCCTAAGCACCGCTACAATATTACCGAGGTGGAAGATGGTGGTGGGGGCACCGCACACGGCTAAGAGATCAAGAGATCAATTGTTGTGTCTAGAGGTGCCTCCCTGCCCCCGTATATAAAGGAGCAAGGGGAGGGGGCCGGCGGCCTCATGGGGTGCGCCCCAAGGGGGGAATCGTACTCCTACTAAGAGTAGGTGCCCCCTTTCCTAGTCCAACTAGGAGGGGAAGGAAAGAGAAGGAGGGGAGAAGGAAAGAGGGGACCGGCCCCCAAAGCCCTAAACCAATTCAGTTCAGGCCTAGGGGCGGCGCACCCTACACTTCCTTGCTGCCCTCTTTTTCCACTAAAGTCCATGAAGGCCCATTGACCCTTCCGGCGAATTCCCGTAACTCTCCGGTACTCCAAAAAATATCTGAATCACTCAGAACCTTTCCGATGTCCAAATATAGTCGTCCAATATATCATTCTTTACGTCTCGACCATTTCGAGACTCCTCGTCATGTCCCCGATCTCATCTGAGACTCTGAACTACCTTCGGTACATCAAAACACATAAACTTATAATATCGATCGTCACCGAACTTTAAGCGTGCGGACCCTACGGGTTCGAGAACTATGTAGACATGACCGAGACATGCCTCCGGTCAATAACCAATAGCGGAACCTGGATGCTCATATTGGCTCCTACATATTCTGCGAAGATCTTTATCGGTCAAACCGCATAACAACATACGCTGTTCCCTTTGTCATCGGTATGTTACTTGCCCGAGATCCGATCGTCGGTATTTCAATACCTAGTTCAATCTCGTTACCGGCAAGTCTTTTTACTCGTTATGTAATGTATCATCCCGCAACTAACTCATTAGCTACATTGCTTGCAAGGCTTATAGTGATGTACATTACCGAGAGGGCCCAGAGATACCTCTCCGACAATCGGAGTGACAAATCCTAATCTCGAAATACGCCAACTCAACATGTACCTTCGGAGACACCTGTAGAGCTCCTTTATAACCACCTAGTTACATTGTGACGTTTGGTAGCACACACAAAGTGTTCCTCCAGTAAACGGGAGTTGCATAATCTCATAGTCATAGGAACCCGTATAAGTCATGAAGAAAGCAATAACAACATACTAAACGATCAAGTGCTAAGCTAACGGAATGGGTCAAGTCAATCACATCATTGTCCTAATGATGTGATCCCGTTAATCAAATGACAACTCATATATATGGCTAGGAAACTCAACCATCTTTGATCAACGAGCTAGTCAAGTAGAGGCATACTAGTGACACTATGTTTGTCTATGTATTCACACATGTATTATGTTTCCGGTTAATACAATTCTAGCATGAATAATAAACATTTATCATGAAATAAGGAAATAAATAATAACTTTATTATTGCCTCTAGGGCATATTTCCTTCAGCGGGGCCGCCCGGAGTATGCTGCTAACAACCACGAGCACTGGGCGGCGTATTTCCAACGCCGCCATCAGGAGCAGCTCGGCTCCACCAACAACACGCCGGTGACGGGGCGCCGCAACACCGACGACCGCCGTCTGTGGTGGGGTGTTCCCAGCCGCACGCTCCACTCCGTCCTCGAGCACCTCGAGGGCGTCAATGAGCCGCCGCTCGAGTAGCCGGCGGCCCCGGCCCCGGCCCCGGTCCCCTGCCGCAGTGGCGGTCCTTAGCTGCCGAGGCGCATGGTGGGCGGGACCACTTCCTCCTCCTCCCGCTCATCCCACCGCTCCTCTGGGTCGCGGACGCTCGCCAATGTCAAGGCCGAGCCCGTGGAGATGGAGCTCGGCTGACGCACCCGCGGCGGCGCCCTCGTCATCAAAGAAGGCGCCCGTGCCTCCTCTGCTCCTTCCTCCCGCCTCGTCAAGCCGAAGATGGAGCCGGGTCTCGTTGCCGTGAAGAGCGAGCACGAGGACATGACCACCGCTGACGAGGCCGCCATCAAGTGGGCGCGTGAGGACTGAGCCCGGCTGGAGGTGGAGCGCCAGTGCCACGCCCTAGAGGAGATTGCCGCTCAGCGCCGCGGCTGAGACGAGTACGACGTCATCGTCCTCGAGGACAGCGATGACAAGGCGCCGCCGCCAGCCAAACCAGTCCGCCAAGGCGACCCCTGGCTGGGTCCAACAGGGACGGTGTCGGCGTGAAGAAGAAGGAGGAGGACAACAACGGCAACGACTACAATAGTTGTGAGGCTTTCGAAAAAGCGCTCGTTAATTAGTTGCTCCCCTTGGAGGCGAACGGGTGGAGATACTCTTACCAAACAGCCTGCGAGTTCTTTTGTATGACAAGTTGACCCGGGACGAAGCGTCCGTCCACAAGCCCACATTTCCGTCTTCTACGCCTCTTCCCTTCCCCTCAAGCCGCCGCAACCAGAAGAAGAGAGAGAGAGAGGGAGAGATGAGCCTGCAGATTCCGGCTAGGTCACGCGGCCTCCGCCGCCTCCTCCTGCTGGGTGGAGAATCTCGCATCCGGCGGTCATACTCCACCGGTGACCGTCGCCGCCGGGTGATCCGCGAGGCACGGGATGAGGAGGAGGACGAGGCCTTCCTCCGCACCCTCAACTTCGGGGCTGACCCAGAGAACAACCCCCTGCCCCCACCGCCGAGACGCGCAGGGGGAGCCCCTGACCCCTCCGCCGCCGGCGCCTTCCCTGCTGACATCCTCCGACGCGCCGCCGGGAAGCAGCAGCAGCAGCAGCGTCCGGAAAGAAGCGCTCAGAAAGCCATCGGGGAGTCGCTGATGGAGAAGCTTAAGCTGGGCGACGCCGCCTCCTCCACGGGAAGCAACATCGAGGCTCAGCAGCCTGAGCATGAACCGGGGCAGCCACCGCAGACGGAGGACGTGGACGAGATCTTCCGGAAGTTGAAAGAGACGGGGCTGATACCCAACGCCGTCGCCATGCTCGACGGCCTCTGCAAGAACGGATTGGTGCCGGAGGCCATGAAGCTGTTCGGTCTGATGCGCGAGAAGGGCGCTATCCCAGAGGTGGTCATCTACACCGCTGTTGTCGAGGCCTTCTGCAAAGCAGCCAAGCTGGACGATGCCGTCCGGATCTTCAGGAAGATGCAGGGCAACGGGGTCATTCCAAATGCCTTCAGCTACTGGTTGATTATACAGGGTCTGTGCAAGGGCGACAGACTGGATGAGGCGGTTGCTTTCTGTGTGGAGATGTTCGAGGCTGGGCATTCCCCGAATGCTGCAACGTTTGTGGGTTTGGTTGATGCAGTATGCAAGATGAAGGGGGTAGAGGAGGGTGAGAAGCTTGTGAGGAGCTTCCAGGATAGGAACTTTGCCATTGATGAGAAGTCCATCAGGGAACATTTGGACAAGAAAGGGCCATTCTCACCGATTGTTTGGGAGGTGATCTTTGGGAAGAAAAAAACAAGCCGCCCCTTTTGATCTAACTAGTATGTGCTCATCCTCTCAATAGTTGAAGCTCCTTCCGTGGTTAAATCAAAATGGCTAGCATGTTGTTTTTACATGATGTCCACCCACCAGTGATTTTGTATTTCTCTGTGTTTACATGCAATTCACCAACATTTAGTTGCTGCTTGGAACCAATAGCTCGGTGATATTTTTTTACTAACCATAAGCCAGTTGGTTGTTGTTTGGAGGTTTCTTGCATGGAGAACAACATTGCACCCATGAACACACACTTGCTGCTCAGAGATTGTTGTTAATTCAAGCTGTTGAGTTGTTTCATCACTATCAATTTCCTACATGATGAACAATCTTGAGAGAACTAATAGGAAACATGGTGCTTCTGAGTTCTAGGTATATAGTTAAATGCAAGTTGGCATCCTCTGGCATGCAGAAAGAGCTGCAAACTTATCATCACCTCTTGTTCACCCTCCAGCCAGATTATCCTTGCTCACCGGCAAGCTAATATGGCTTACTCTCCACTGCTAAGTTCCACATCTAGTAATATTTAGAACTTAGATTGATTTTTCTATCCATATGGGCTAGGGATATCTTTAACCAAGGAATTACTTTGTTCCACTGTTTTACTACAAATGTAAGAAATTGTAAACAACATTGCACCCATGAATACACACTTGCTGCTCAAAGACGATAGCTTTGTCATATTGTTGTTAATTCAAGCTGTTGAGTTGTATTTCATCACTATCAATTTCCTACATGATGAACAATCTTGACAGAACTAATAGGAAACAGGGTGTTTCTGAATTCTAGGTATACAGATAAATGCAAGTTGACATCCGCTGGCATGCAGAAAGAGATGCGAACTTATCATCACCTCTTGTTCACCCTCCAGCCAGATTATCCTTGCTCACCGTCATAAGATAATATTTCTTACTCTCCGCTGTTTAGTTCCACATCTAGTAATATGTTAACGGAATCGATAAAAATCTGACATCAGATTTTACCACTTCCGTGCGAACGTGTCAGTGGCCGTCCGATTTTGTGCATGAATCTTGATGCTTGGTCGTTGACACGTCAGCCGCAGCAAAACGTTCGTTCGCTTCCGTCCCTCGCACAAACGACCTCCCTCACTCTGCCTTAGGGCACGTACAATGGTTGATAAAGCGGTCTTATCTTAAATCTTGTATGTAATTTAGAGATGACAAAAAACATGTCTACGTACAATGGTTGATAAAGCGGTCTTATCTTAAATCTTGTATGTAATTTAGAGATGACAAAAAACATGTCTATAATAGGTCATTTCTTAGCCTTATCTTCAATAACTAGTTATTCCTAAAAACATGGAGAGACTACAGATTGTGCTAAGAGATCATCTCTTGCCTTCTCTTAATTAAGAGAAGACAAGCCTTCACTTATGATTTCTCTCTCCTCCACCTCATCATTTATCCTACGTGGCATTGCTAAGATAAAACCATTGTACATGCCCTTATCCTCAACACTTCCTTTCCCCTGTCTCTCTCGCTCATGCCCACTCCGGGGAGGGCGGCGTTTGGTCGGCGGCCAAGTAGGAGTAGAAGGATGGGAAAGATACATGGAGTTGGCGAGGCTGCACGTGCACATGCATCCCGCCATCTCCGACCATCTATGTAGAATATGTGAATTGCACGATGTATTGCTCTCATGCATAGGTACGTATATATGATGTACAACGGTGGGTCACGGACCTCAATTATACAAGGAATTAGGAGGCGGACCCAATACACAATATGCACATAAGACATATACTCAACCCCCTCCCCCCCGACCCCGCGGTCGAAGCGGCACCGCGGCTGACGCAAAGACTGGAACTCCTCAAATGATGCGTAGGCAAGCCCTTGGTCGTGATATCGGCTAATTGTTGGGAAGTAGGGACGTGTAAAACACGAATATGGCCAAGTGCCACCTGTTCCTGAACAAAATGAATATCCAACTCAATATGCTTGGTTCGTCGATGATGCACCGAGTTAGCGGAGAGGTAGACCGCCGAGACGTTGTTGCAGTAAACCACCGTGGCACGGTCAACAGGGCAAGAGAGCTCCTGAAGTAGCTGACGCAGCCACGAACACTCGGCGACGGTGTTGACCACCGCACGATACTCAGCTTCAGCACTGGAGCGAGAGACCGTAGGCTGCCGCTTGGATGACCATGAGATAAGTGAAGGTCCAAGGTAGACACAATAGCCCGAAGTGGAGCGACGAGTGTCAGGGCACCCGCCCAGTCTGCATCGAAGTAGGCGGTGAGGGCGGTGTCGACGGAGGTGTTAAGCGTGACGCCAAGATCCATAGTGCCACAGATATAGCGGAGAATCCGCTTGACGGCAGCCCAGTGAACGTCTCGAGGAGCATGCATATGAAGACACACCTGCTGCACAGCATACTGGATCTTCGGTCGAGTCAGAGTGAGGTACTGGAGAGCACCAACGATAAACCGATAGAAAGCAACATCCGAAGCAGGAGAACCATCCGTGGCAGAAAGCTTGGCCTTCGTATCAACAGGCGTAGCGGCGGGCTTGCAGTTAAGCATGCCGGCGCGCTCCAAGAGCTCGTGAGCGTACTTCCGCTGATGAAGGAAGAAGCCATCCGGACGGCACACCACCTCAACACCGAGGAAGTAGTGCAAATGATCCAAGTCCTTGATGGCGAACTCAGCGCGAAGACGAGCCGTGAGCTGACTGAGGAGACCAGCCGTACATGCCGTCATGATGATGCCGTCGACATAGAGCAGCAAGTAGGCCGTGTCAGAGCCCTGATGTTAGACGAAGAGCGAGGCGTCCGAGCGGGTAGAGCGAAACCCAAGCTGGTGGAGAAACACCGTGATGCGCTGGTACCAAGCGCGTGGAGCCTGCTTGAGTCCGTACAAGGACCGCGAAAGTAGGCACACGTGGTCGGGAAGCGCCGGGTCAATAAACCCGGTGGGCTGCTGGCAGAAGACCTGCTCCTCGAGGTGATCATGGAGGAAGGCATTGGAGACGTCCATCTGGTGCACCGGCCAAGCACGGGAGACCGCAAGGTGGAGAACCGTGCGTATCATGCCGGGCTTGACGACCGGAGCGAAGGTGTCGGCGAAGTCGATGCCAACACGCTGTCGGAAGCCACGAACAACCCAGCGTGCTTTGTAGCAATCAAGGTACCATTGTAACGCCCCGAATCTGATGCGCCAGGTGTCTTTCAGTTATTCGTTGTCGTTGCCATGTCATTTACTTGCGTGTTGCATTTTGCCATGTCATCATCTGCATTTCATCAGCATGTTTTTCAAAACTTGCGTTCGTTCAGGTTCCTCTGGTCCTCTCCGTTGTCCGTTTTGAGCCCAACCACACTCGCATGCACCCGTCGCCCCTCTTAGACCTTGTTTCGTGAGCGGGAGAAAAACGTTCTCGGAATGGGCCGAGATTTGCCGAGTGGTCTTGGTACATCACCGGTAAACCGCCTGTCAAATTTCCTTTCATTTGGAGGTCGTTCGATGCCCCAACGGTTAATCGGGTAACCGGAAAACCCCTCTCTCTTTGCAGCTCAGCACCCTTCATAACAACCCTCTAGCCCATCAAACTCCCCTCCATACTCTCTGCCATTGGATCACGATTGTGTAGACGAAAATCGCACCTCATTTGGACTCTCCTAGCTCCCTCGACCTATAAATAGGCCCTCCCCTTCCATTTTCACGGATGAAACCCTAGTATTCTTCCTCTTCACGCCGCCGAACACATCCACCGCGCCGGACATGTCCGCCGTTCACCTCACCCCGGCCAATCCAGCCTCGCCACATCATCGCGCCGCCGCCCTGGGCCAACCCCTTGCCGCCACGTCGCCCGGCCAATCCAGCCTCGCCACATCATCGCACCCCCGACCGCGGCCCTCTCGGCCCGTCCGCCGCCCGCGAGCGAGCTCCGCTCGCTCCGCCGCCGTGCCACTCACCGGCCCCGCCGCAGCTCCGCCGCTTGCCTCCCCGCGCCGTCACGCGAGGATCCGCTGCCGCCGCCGTCGGCCTCCGCACCGCCCCGCCATGTGCCGCTTCCCTCGCCGCCGTTCGCCGCCTCGGTCGCCATCGACGGTAGCCGCCGCCTGGCTGCGCCTCGCCTCCGGCCGTCGGAGCTCGCCAGAGGAGCCCCGCGCTGCGCCTCCCCGCCGTCGCATGCCTCCCCCGCCGGCCGCCACCCCGCTGGAGATCGCCGGAGTTCGCGCCGACCGGATCTGGCAGATCGGGACCAGATCCACCGGCCCGTCCATCCAAACGCCCTCGCTCGCGCTGGGTTCCCTCCATCCCGGGACTTCCTCGTCCAGTTTTTCGGAGGGTAAAATTTCACTAAGGCCTAGTAATTTCATCTCGTGATGCCATGTTTGCATGCCCATAACTTTGTGCTCCGTGCTTTGATTTGAGCATATGATATGTCAAAATGTTCATCTCAGAGTGTTCTTCATGATGGAGTAGTTTGCATTCATGTTAATGTTCATATTGATGCCTTAATCTTCGTTGCAAAACTGCTAAGTGATATAAACTGTTGGAATCTGCTGATTGTTAACTTCATGTATGCATCTTGTGAGTGCTATAACTTTGTCCCTGTTGATCCTATGATGATGATCTTAATATGCACATGTTATGCTCTTCAGGCTTTACATGTTGGTGTGCTTTGCATTCATGTTAGGGTGCATCTTGATATATTAATCCTTGTTGCAAAAGTGCATGTTGCTGTTATGTGCTGAAAACTGTTGTAACTTGCCTATTTGTCATTTTAATATCTTTTGTGTGATTTTCTTTTGAGCATCATGTCTACATGTTTTAGGAGCATATTTATGCATCTTTACAGGGGTGCAATCCATATATTTATATATGCCCTGTAGTAAGTGCTTCAAGCTTGTGAAGTGGGCTACTTGCTGTTAATGTGCTGTCAAGTCTATTTCTATCATATCATGATGCCATGTTTGCTTGATGGTACCAATTAATCCATGCATATTCTGAAGATGCTTAGTCGACATATTTTGATG